CTAGACTGGTAAAGGTTTTTTTTAAAAGAACCCAACACAATTGAAGGCAATTGTGACAGGGTCCTTCAGTAACCTTTACGCCATATTGAAGGTATAATTCCGTTATCAAAGTACAAAACATCTATTGTAAATTTTTATACTTCATTAAGTACCTCATACAGAAACTCGTCTATACTACACGATTTTCCAGATTTAATCAAGTTTTCATTACCACTGGCTGAGCTTTATCCTCAGTAGTTTGTCTATAAATAGGCATTCGGTACATAAAGAGCGTCGTTCCATGTTCCATGTGTTCTTTATGCACTAAAGGTTTTGAAATCGTCGAACGCGTCATCACTTAGTAACAAGGTCTTTTTCCCGTATCTCCTCGATGCCCAGGATGCATTTTCACTATATAATCAGTAGAGTCCCACCCTAAAACCAGAACTCCTGAACCAGGGGCCATGAATTTCACAATTTTGGAGGAGGCACCCTTGCTCATTATAACCATGCACATAGTTTGTTTGCTAAATATAAACAGTGAGAGAATAAGCTTTCAAAGAATATATGCATTTTCACTACACGATCAATAGAGCCCCACCTTAACTCTAGAACCATTGAACCTTGGGTCATGAATTTCACAATTTTGGTAAAGGACTCATTGTTTGTTATAATGATGACAATAGTTTGACACGTTGATGTCCAGATTCTGAAGTAAAGAAAATTTTTGAAAATTGCAGAGATTTTGATTGTTTCTGCCCCGTCCCTCAGGCCTCAGGGGGTTAGGGGGCAGGGACCATAAAATTTACAATTGTTGTTTCCCTTTGCCCATAGATGCTCTATGCTAAAATTGACTGAAACTGGTTAAACAGATTATGAGTGACTCGGGTGACCTAATAAAACGTACAGTCCTTCGATTCGTCACCAAAACGGCCATTCAGAACACAACATAGACTATCTTTTGATTTTTTAAGGTTTCTAAGTGAGTTACCATCTTGGTTTTGACTTTTATCACTTGTCGCCCGTGTGGTGCAGTGGTTAGAGCGTTTGCTCTAGAGTCGCGGAGTAAGGAGATTATCCTTACGTCGGGGGTTCGAATTCCACTGTGGGATGTGGAGACCGGTCCTTCGGATGAGACCGTATAAACCGAGGTCCCGTTAGGTGCTGACACGAAAAAGGTCCCTCACTACTCACTGGCCCTAAGTACGGAAGCGTAATAGGGCCGCAGCAGTATCTTTTATTAATTTGTTTTAACAAATTATCAATTTGTTATAATAAATTATCAATTTGTTAAAACAGATTACTAATTTGTTATAACAGATTATTAATTTGTTATAACAAATTACTAATTTGTTATAACAAATTATCAATTTGTTATAACAAATTATTAATCTGTTATAACAAATTACTAATTTGTTATAACAAATTATCAATTTGTTATAACAAATTATCAATTTGTTAAAACAGATTACTAATTTGTTATAACAGATTGCTAATTTGTTATAACAACTTACTAATTTGTTATAACAAATTATCAATTTGTTATAACAAATTATCAATTTGTTATAACAAATTACTAATTTGTTATAACAAATTACTAATTTGATATAACAAATTATCAATTTGATATAACAAATTATCAATTTGTAATAACAAATTATTAATTTGTTATAACAAATTATTAATTTGTTATAACAGATTAGTAATTTGTTATAACAAATTAATAATTTGATATAACAAATTAGTAATTTGATATAACAAATTAGTAATTTGTTTTAACAAATTAGTAATTTGTTATAACAAATTAGTAATTTGTTATAACAAATTAGTAATTTGTTATAACAAATTACTAATTTGATTTAAAAAATTATTATTTTTTACAAAATATGAAGGTGAATACAGATCTATGGAAGCCAGATCAGATCAGATCAGAAATCTTATTTTAAATCGGTTCTATGAACACGTTAAGCATAAGCTTTGGAGAGCTTTTGATCAATATGTTAATGTGGATTTAGATGAATTAGCAACTTAGATTAAAGCACTTTAATTTTTGTTTAATTGCAGTTTTTTTTTTTTAAATTTTTGTTTTGTTTTGTTGTTGTTTGTTTGTTTGTTTGTTTGTTTGTTTTTTTTGAGTCAGTTCCTTGGAATAGATTTCTCTGTTAGACAATTAAAAGAATAGCTGCATCCCAGGGATTATGTAGAAGAAATACAGAATTTTGGATCCTTCGAGAAAAATTCGAAGTTCCGGACAATTAAATATGATTTCAACGTCGTCCATTCAAATCAACACTTTTTTTCAATGTCAACACAGGGGTCAAAAGGGGAGAAGACCTATTTTTTCCTTCTTTACACATGTGTAATATTTTGTGTGTATTGTTATAACAAATTATATTGCTGAACGATTTCTTGTAAAATATATGAGTAGTCCTATATGAGACAACCAGGATACAAATTACAAATGAATTTGAAGAAACAACTGTCAAAGTTTTCAGCCAAAAATAAGTTATGAAGGCTTTAGTGGGATTTCGAGGGCTTTTCCAAAAGGAACGTATTTTGATTATAAAAATTACATACATACATGAAAAAATTTCACAAGGTATCTAAATTCAAATTTTACGAAGTACTACCCACTCAAGAATATTGTTTATTTTCGTTTTCAGAAAAGGTTATTACAGAGTGTTTATCAATTTTTCTATGATAATTTATCTACAAATTCATTTTTTATCAATGTTGCCTTTATTGCCCCCAGCATAAATTGGGGCCAAGGAGGTTCACCAGAGGAGCAGATTCAGGTTAATGCATTAGGAACGGCGGTTTAGTTTAAAATATATTTTATTCATGATACATAAACTGGATTGAACAGTAGGCATAAATCATTTGGTACATGTATAGAATGAATCGAGAAAGAGAGAGGGAGGGGGGGGGGTAAAATGAAATAAAATAAAAGACATATTGAAAAAAAAACATATTATAATGAACATGTTGATTCAGGGTGGGAAAAATTCCCTCTCCAAATAACATGTCTTTGATAAGATATTTTTTCCTAGCATACGAACGGGGATGCAATGACCTGGTAGATGGGAGTCAAGGACGGAGCCCTGGTGGGGGAGGAGGACAAAATTCAAATGGAGCTCCTAAGAATAAGTAAATAGGAACCAAAGAATTTGATGCATTGTATCTTTATAACAACAGTGTTTGACAGTGAAAACTCTAAATGCTAAAAGATGTAAATCCAGATTAACATATTGGTTAAAAGCTGTAGCTGCAGAGCTTGTACATTTATTATTTTCACAAATCCAACTTATAAAAAGATTTCTGATCTCATCTGGCTTCCATAGATCTGTATACACTTTCACTTTATCAAAATATTAATTTGTTATAACAAATTACCAATTTGTTATAACAAATTAATAATTTGTTATAACAAATTATTAATTTGTTATATCAAATTGATAATTTGTTATATCAAATTAGTAATCTGTTATAACAAATTAGTAATCTGTTATAACAAATTAGTAATTTGTTTTAACAAATTAGTAATTTGTTTTAACAAATTAGTAATTTGTTATAACAAATTAGTAATCTGTTATAACAAATTAATAATCTGTTATAACAAATTAATAATTTGTTATAACAAATTGATAATCTGTTATAACAAATTAGTAATTTGTTATAACAAATTGATAATTTCTTATAACAAATTAGTTATCTGTTATAACAAATTAGTAATTTGTTATAACAAATTAGTAATTTGTTTTAACAAATTGATAATTTGTTATAACAAATTAGTAATCTGTTATAACAAATTAGTAATTTGTTTTAACAAATTAGTAATTTGTTTTAACAAATTGATAATTTGTTATAACAAATTAGTAATCTGTTATAACAAATTAGTAATCTGTTATAACAAATTAGTAATTTGTTAAAACAAATTAATAAAAGATACTGCTGCGGCCCTAATACGCTTCCGTACCTAAGTGCTGAGTGCAAAGTATAGGTCAAAATTTGCAGCTCTCCACCGGCAAGTAGTGGCGTCTCCATATGAATGAAAAATTCTACTATGGTGATAAATATTGCCTGCTCCATTACTTCTTTCGTGGAATTCATTCCGAAATAAATCCATTTGCTGTAGATCTATATAAAATTACCAAATCAAGACTTTGTATAATATCTTAGTGTTTGATTTTATAGGCATGGAACTCTCTAAACCAGAAAGGATTGGCACAAGACCGTTTTAAGTCTGAAAAAGTAATTCTTTTCCTTACTCCTTTGTGTAATATTATTTTATTGTATCAATCATTTAATATTAATGTTATTTTCGTGTCTTCGTGAGCTCTAAAGAGAAATTATTCTAGTTTAACATTATAAATTCTCCAGCTCGTGTTTATATTTGATATTATTTGATATTAAAAAAGACAATGATGCAAATAGTACACGACTACAGAAATGTTCTTAACAAAACTCGTGATAATACATGCGAAGTAATTTCTTATTTGCATCACGTTATTTGCACTTCCTTCTCCGACTTGGACTGAAGAAATGAAGCTCCACTATATTACATTCTGTTCTACAATTCCATATAGTTACGACTGCCAACTGCTGATTGCCGTTGGTTATAGATATTATCTTTCACTAATTACCAATTTTCAATTGCCAATAAGCACAGGACTAATTCAGTTAGTCATGTACTCATTGGCAATTGAAAATTGGTAATTAGTGCAAGACAATAATATTGCCTATTATCTTAAATTTATAGCGCATGCTGTAATACACAAATATTTCAACAATCGAATTAAAACTTAAGGCAGATCCAGGAATATTGATACGGAAAAGGAGGAGAAAATTCTCTCGATAGTCTCCACAGGTGTTCGTACACAGGAAACCCCCCCCCCCCCCCCCGCCCCCGAATACACACCGCGGGTCTTATGATATTTTTTGATTCAAACGAATAAATCTGAGAACGACTGAATTAGAGATTGAAACGAAAGTAGATTTAAGATTTGGGGGAAAAAAATCAGCATGGGTGATCGTCTGAAAAAACTCAGAGAGCGCTCGCAGAAACGAAAAGAAATTCTTGCAAAAGCGGTAAAAGTTATTTTCTTTGAGTTTAGTAAAAGACAGATAAAGATAACGATTCATATTCCATAATACTAATAGATAACAAAACAGTATCATGAGTATGTAGTTAGTTTTCTCCAATTCTGTGCAACAGTGGACCCATTTCAGTTACTCTTTACATTTAATAGATGTTCACTATTTCATTAAATAATTTTAGTTGAAATGGGTGGTTATTTACTTTTTGAAATAACGACGAGTTTCTTGGCAAGATTTTGTTAAAACTCGAATTTGTTCTGGTTATCTTCTATCAAATATTGTAAAACGGTAATATCGACCAATGATTGACCTTTCATAAATATGTTGACAATTTACTGATATAAATCAATCAAATCAGAAGTCAAGATGGAATGTGAGTTATTATGATTGCGAAAGTCATACTTTATAGTGCAAGACAAAGTTTTAGTTTAAATGAAATTCTGCAGTAAACAGAGCAAGAATGAGAAAATGCTATACAGTACGTGGAGTCGCCAATTCCGGGTCATCTCCGATTCCGGGTCACTTGTGTGTATTTCAAACCATATTGTTAAGATTAAAGCGCAAAAAACTTAATAAATACACTGGTCATGAAAAATTTGGTCTTTCTGTCTATAATCAATAGCAAAATTTTGAAAATCAACTTTGAGCATCTGACAAATGAAATTATGAAATGTGCGCATTGACGACAGGGATGTTTTTGCTTCGTTGACAGGCTACTTTCGTTTTTGTTCGCCGCAGGATGGCCAATATAAAAGTTCTAGATAAACAATAATAGCTCGAAAGTAATGGCACATGTATTCAGTTATAACTCAGAAATCAATCACAATGATCACTGCTCAAATAAAATTACACTGATTAATAAATCAAACTATAGCAGTTTCTCCATTTGCAGTTCACGTAATCTCATGGCATGGAATATGTCAAAACTCAATGTACAAAACCGAGTGGCAACCATCTATTTATCCTGAGTTTTAAAACTATTCTACCTGGAAAATATGTCTTAAAAAATAAAATTGAGTTTACCTTGCAAATACATTTTTTAGACTTTAATTGTTTAATTTAATCCTAAAATAATTATTTTTATTCTGAATCCTCATTGTTATCCAAGGCTGTACATGTATTTAAGGTCCAGAAAAATCATTTTATTTTGTAATTTTTCTGTAACATGTGAGATATTACAGCTGATACCACTTGACAACTGGTTCCAAGTCCCTCCTATACACTCCCCCCCCCCCCCACCTGCCGCACAAAATGAGATGGTGAAGAGTTGGTGGATGGGATAGTAATTAAATCCTTATAAATTACACATTTTACAAAATAAAAGATTTTTAATTCTGAACTCTCTGAAATAAAAAGAATATATTGAACATTCCACAGGACACTGAGGTTAAACCATATTCTTAGTACTTTTTTCATATTAATTGTAACAGATATATGATATAGTTATTCTTTATTATTATTATTAATTTTTTTTTTACTGCATATTGCAATTCGTTTTTTTTTTTTTGAATTAATTAAAAATTTTATTTTCTGTGATTATTTGTTTTTTCTGAGCTGCATGAATTCTTTTATGCTTCAACATCATAAAAATCGTGTTCCCAAACGATCCCTTCATATTACAAGACCATGAAGTCACATGACCCGGAAATGGAGAAAATGACTTGTAAGTGGGGAAACTAGGCCTTGTTGAAATACGCCTATAAATATTGTTCCCGTTTACCTATTTTGAAAATAAAAAGGCTCTTGGATGTAATGGATGACTCACTATTTGTACTTTCAATACATATGTTGCATAAAATATAAATCGAACAACTTTGCAAAATATCAACAAAACAGCCTGATGTGACCCGTAATTAGCGACTTCACTGTAACATATTTATGCTTTAAAAATTTAATTTGATTGACGAATGTAGATATTTAAAATGATATATTTTATCAATGAATTTCACAATGTGTATTGCAGCTGAGCAATATTCATAAATATAATTTTTGTCTGTAGAAAACTTTCTGACTACTTTGATACCTAAAGTAACAATTTCCAACAATTTGTTCTATTTCTGTTGTTGGAAAAATCTGAATATTTAAAATATTTTCTGTTAAGCTTTTAATAGTTACAATGTTAAATTCATATTTTCCTCTTTACATTTGTTATATATAGTTTGGAGTTGAAGGACCACATGGTTTGAAAGAAGTCCTCCATATCAAGGAAGAATCTTCACACAAAAGAAAAAGCTCAGAGTATTTTTTTTTATTTTTAATTTTTATAGTAACTTTTGACATACATAACAACCTCAGGGTTGCAGGTAACTTGTTTCATATTCATTTGTAGCTAAAATCTACATATGAGCACTAAAAAAAAAATGACACTGCACTTGTTCATTTTAAGTGTTTTTAATTTCTATAATGTCAGACAATTACATGTATCATGATAGGGCAGATTCCAGGGATTTATCTGTGCCTTAATTCTCAGAAGACAAAACTTTTATCTAGTTGCTGGCCCAATCTCCAAATCCCAAATGGCTGCATTGTATGTTATGTCACATAACTTATCATTTTGTGGGTTTTAATTCTCCCAGTTTCAAACAAAAACTTTTTTATTGATGGCCTGGGGAAGGAGCATGGAATTTTGGCATACTTGTATATGCATATAGTTCTATAGATCTACTTTTCATTTTATTTTTCTATTCAGTGACAAAAAACTCCAGCTGAGCTAGCATCATTTTGTATACCTTTAAGAATGAAAGCAAATTTTTAATTGCAAAAATGCACTTATCCCAGATTATGCCCAGGTGAAACAGTATGTCATATATTGCTTGTAGTGGAATACCTCTGCTATAGTGCATACCATGGAATTGTGTTTTTTGTACAAAATGTTTGGCCTGTTTTACAATCAGAAAATTCATTTGCAATACTCAGTAATTTTAAGTGTGTTAAATTTTAAAATATGTATCCTAGACCTTCTCTATATATTTTTAATATTTTTCAGTAGTAGTGATGCAGTTCCCTCTAAAAAGTTGAAGACAGATGATAATAAAGAAGAGGTGAAGGAATCTAATGACAAGAAATCAAATGCTTCTTCAGAGGTGAGTTATTAACCACAACATTTTGATCATTTCTCTGCAGATTGTGGTGTTTCTTACCCATATGACATTATAATGAAACACTAATTAATTATCTGAATTTGTGTAAAGATTTTGTTTCATTTGTCACACTATTCTATATAGGCAATACCGGTACTTGTATAGTACATGTACATGTTTGTCTGAGGCTGTTATTAGAATTGTTTCTACACTTAAATTTTAGAATGATAATGACCAAGAAGATGAATTTTACAAAGATTCAAGTACATTTTTAAAGGTAGGTTACATTTTCAAACCGTGTAAATTAAAAATTAATACCGCTAAGTACAATAGTGCACTGTTTCTTTGACCACCTAATATCTCTAAGAAGGTATTACTGAAAACAAATCAAATATCGGATCATTAAATTGTTTATTCCTGCAACTGTGTGAATGGAAATAAATATATGAGATATCTCTGTTTCAGGGAACACAAAGTGCTAATCCTCACAATGATTATTGTCAGAACTTTGTGGATACGGGGGAGAGGCCACAGAATTTCATCAGAGATACTGGTATAACCTGAAATACAGTTCACAAATCAAATATATGTACTGCATGGCAGTATGTTGGTGTACTTTATTAAACTTTATACATATCATTGTTGAAAAGATTATAGTTGCTAAGCATCTCTGCTACCTTTAATTTGACATCTGGCTAAGCATAAAATGTGTATTGTAACAACAGAGGTTATGGAGAATTACATTGTTTTGAAGTAGCTTAACTGTCATTTTTGTTTTCTTAGGTCTTGCCAACCGATTTGAGGAGTATCCTAAGTTACGAGAACTGATTCGTTTAAAGGATGAGCTTATAGCCCAAACAAACACACCTCCTATGTTAGTTTCAATTAATATTATTTTTTAATACTTAAGAATAAATAGTAGAATTACTGCTTGGTAGTTAGCACTATTTCACTGCATGTTTATCACAAGTCAGAAAGGGACTAAAATTTTGTATCCTAGAACTTTGTGTCTTTTTCCAGGTACTTAAAGTGTGACCTTCAAGAGTTTGACCTTGGTGAACTTGGATGTAAATTTGATGTCATGTTTGTGGAGCCTCCATTAGAAGAATACCAGAGGTCAACAGGGGCAGTATATGACAAATACTGGAACTGGGATGAAGTGGGTATTTTTCACAAATTAGTACTCTAGTGAATTACTTTTGTTAACTAGGAATCCACTCTTCATATCTGCATCTTATGTGTATTTAATGACTGCTTTATAAATTTTTCCCCAATTTTATTGTTGGAGATTTTTGGACCTAAATAAGAATTGTCTCCCTTAAAATGCATTTTGGAGGCCTTTTAGTCATGCTTTTCAATGCCGAATCTCTTAATAGTACTGAGTCATTAAAATTGTTTTCTGTGTTTTAGATCGAGAGGCTGAATATCCCTGCTGTGGCTGCCCAGAGGTCCTTCTTATGGTTGTGGTGTGGAAATGCAGATGGATTGGAGAGAGGCAGACAGGTACCAAGAGTTGTCTTCCTTTTCACACTGACATCTATAGAATTTACAAGAAATCCTTGAAAAACTGTCTGGCCTTTGAAAATGTCAAAATAGTCTAGGGCTAGGGCTATTATGCTGCACTTAGTTAAGTCCCAAAGCTTATGTAATTTTTATTCTTATTCCTAGTGCCTGAAGAGATGGGGGTTTAGACGATGTGAAGACATCTGCTGGATAAAAACAAACCACAAAAATCCACGTGAGAAGAGACCTTTGGATCCTTCTGCTGTTCTTCAGAGAACTAAGGTATACATAACTGCACTGAACTCTATTGTGATAAGCCTCTATACCCCAAGTCCCTACATTAAAGATATTTCAGAGCTTTTGATCTGGAATAAACTAATAAAAAAAATTATGTACATGTATATTATAAGGTTAAATTTTAATAATCTTGTATGTACTTATTTACATGGACAGTAAAATTCCTGGAATATTTATTTAGGAGCATTGTTTAATGGGAATAAAAGGCACAGTTAAAAGAAGCACAGATGGAGATTTCATTCATGCCAATGTGGACATTGATCTGATCATAGAGGAGGATTTTGAATATGGCAGCAAAAGCAAACCAGTCGAAATATTTCATATCATGGAGCACTTCTGTCTCGGCAGACGCCGTTTGCACGTTTTTGGGCGAGACGACACAATCAGAGCAGGGTGGTTGACACTAGGACCAGAACTGACCAGTACAAACTTTGATGCAGGTGTATACTCAGGCTATTTCAACAAGAACCCCAATGACTACCTGACTGGGTGTTCAGAGGAAATTGAAAGACTTCGACCAAAGTCTCCCACTCCTAAAAACAAACAACAAGGAGGGTCCTCTGATGGCCGTGGGAGAGGGACATCAGGTTCTAGGGGAGGATCAAGGGGAGCAGGCTCCAGTACCAGAGGGGGTGCTCAGGGAAGGGGATCATTTTCAAGAGGTTCATTTTCTGGTGCTAGAGGAGGTTCTTTTTCAAGAGGGTCTCGTTCAAGAGGGGGTGGTTTTAAAGGGAGAGGAGGTGAAAGATGAATACATGTACTGTAACAGTATACATATTTTTAATGGGCCATGTAATAGTGATATGTTGTTTCTCTTTATTGATTTTTAATACCATAATGATATACTGTTGTTTTGTAAAGATATAACATTTCCTGACTCAGTGCATATATGGCATGAAATGTACATGAGAATTCAAATGATTTTTTTTCATCACCACACATCACACTGTACTATAAAATGTTCATTGTAAATAAAATGTCATTAGTGAAGCTTGAAAGATACTCTGTAATATGGCAGGATTATTTTTTTTTTTGGGGGGGGGGGGGAATTGTAATGAAAATTTGAAATGCTGTCTTGAGATTAAAAACAAATTCTCTAGAATAAAGGCATAAAACCAGATTTGTACAAGTTGTTCCCCTTTTTTTATTGAAGTAAAGCTTAAACTTCTTTATAAATTATTGATGGCAAAAAAATATGTACAATAGTGTTTATATTAACATGTAGCACACAAACTCGTCTAATTATGCTTCTACCACCAAGATGGATAACTTTTATGATTGTTGTCTTTCTGCAAAAAAATTATGTGTAATTTTTCATTTCTAATTACCCTAAAATTGTCATCTGTACTTTGGGTCACGCTGCAAGTGGTTTTGGAGTTAGGTCAGAAGTTGTAAAACTTTGATGCTCTTACTTTAATTCAAACATCAAAGGATGTAAATTGTCTGGTTGACTACCAACATCCTTACATAGGGTCTAATTGACAAGGTCATACATGTAAGCCAATCCAACAAAGTTTGTCATTCCAAAAGACTCAAGAGAGGATTGTGTTCAGGATTTGTGACCCAATCTTTCATTAAAGTAGAACCCTTGAGACAGATATGGTTGTTATAACCTTACAGTAATTGATCTTGTTTGATTAATATCTTCATGCCATGTTTAGTGCAGAAGGTCACTTTGGAGTATTGATTTCAGATTATTTCACAAATGACCGAAATTATATCGGCACTAACTTATTACTGGTCATAATTTTGATGATCCAGAATCTAAACATTACATACTCAGTTTAATGCATCAAAACTGTAAATGCTAATTTCAATGATGTACTTTTTTGGCCATAAAAAATTCAAAATTATTTTTTACACGCAACAAACTGATAGGTGCCACACTCCTGTAATGTCACAGCTGCATGTATGTGTTTGTGTTTTTTCTGTCAAAACTAGTAACTGGAAACTTTACATGCAAGAAAATCTTTTTTGTTAAAATAATTTTTTTGCAAGGCATATTGTAAATATAAAAACTTTTGAAGAAATCAATAAAAAAGTTACATATCGAAGCTTTAATAATATTTTAGTGAATATTTATTGTCATAAATACGGTATAAAAGACATGAACAACTTATGTTTTTATATACAGTAACAATGCGATTTAGTAATCCAGTCCTGTTAGTTGTCAATTATCATCACATATATTGGAATCGCTGAAGAAATGTCAAATAACTTTGTGAAGGTCTAGTTGTAAGGGAATAATCTTGTGGGTAAAGGCCACACCAGCTCTGAAAAAGGTAACGTTAAAATCAATGTTTGTAATTTCACAGGAGAGAGGCTTAGATGAAAAAGAATCGCATACATGTTATTATATTTGATAAATGATTCAAGTACATATTAAAGCTTTCATATGTACACTTATATCTACTGTTGAAAAACAATGATGGCTTCATACATGTAAACATTTTTTTTTTCATAATTAACAAATCAGAGGAGTATGTGTATATATTGAAAATAAAAAAAATTAACATAAGATTTTTTATTACATATTTGAATTGACTGATGTTCAATTCATTATTAAATTTGAAAAAAAGGTCAACACTTTATAAAAGAAAGGAAATCCATAAACCATGCTATGAATACAATACTCAATGGTGACATGCATTGACTATAATCATGGTGACATACCAGTACCTATACTACGTTATGTCCATGTGTGGGGGTGCTAAAATAATGGTAAACAATTATATATAAGGTGTGGGATTCTCTTGACCATTAGCATTCATAGTGACCAACCACCTTCCAACAGTAGAAATTAATTCAATTAAAACATACATGCTGATTTTCAAACATATATGCAGCAACATACAACATGCTTTATGTATTGCATATACAAGTTTTTTAATTGGTATAAAGGAATAAAAAATTGACTGAAATGAAGAGGAAATCAAGGTAACAGGAAAGAAGAAAATATATGGCTGGACCAGGAATTGAACCTGGAACCCCTGCATCACTAGTCGGGTGCTCTACCAACTGAGCTATCCAGGTTGATATCCACGGCCCAACCATTACAGTTCAAAGCAGTAGAACAGTCATCCATTTCTGTGATATAAACTGTAGAATGTTGTAAATCAGCATGTATGTCACAAACTGAAGAAGTGCTTTTTATCATGAAGAGTCCGTTAATCTGCAAGAATTGCACCCTCATAACCATAACATGTAGTGTGAACAAGAGCTTTGAATGCCTTTTTGCACCAGGCCATGTACACCCCATCAAATCGAAGCAAATGCACTTGAAAGCAAAAAGCAATTTTATTCTTTTGATTTCTGTAAAACAACAGTATATCTTTTTGAGAGACATTCAAGGGTCTTGGTACCAGCAGACGACTGGTGATTATAGTGTGACTGAACCAAGTCATCCTGATGATAGGTTTTTGGAGTATGATAATCAAATTTAATAATAATTTTAAAAAAAAAACCCATCCAGATAACTTGGCAAGATGAAAATCTACATATAAAGTACAGTAATGTGAAGATGTTACCTTCTGCAATGAAAAAAGACAATAATATTATAAGCCAATATATTAAATATATCACACAAGCATATATTAGAAAGCATGGTACTTTTACATGTATTTTTTTTTTTAATGAATTACATTTCTTAAAAATATTTCAATCATTGCCAGCCTGTCAGTAATAGCCTTAATTAATTTTAATTAGCAAGGAGATAAGTATGAACATTGCTAGTCAAGCTTATGAACCAGATTTGAAAATTATATACTTAAAAAAAAAGTTGGGCTAGTTTTTACAAACTTAATTTAAATTTTAAAATAAATTCTCAGACTCTTGGTAACCATTTCTAAACTTAAACAGGGGACTTAAAAGAAATGTTCAACACTACAATGTTCAATACCACAATTTTAAGTAGGTAAAGACTTTAACTTAAATTACTTCAAAGCTAACGAACTAAACTTTTAATGAAATATCTTTTACTGAAATATTTAGTCACAGAAACTTACCACTTTCGAGAACAACATCATATGGGTGTTCTTCCAGCTCAATATACTCCTCCAGTGAAATCATACAGGGGTCTTCATCTTCCATCAAGTAGTGTAGAACACCTAATAAAGACAAGCCAGTAGTAAGCTCTTCTTATACAAGTGTAAAAAATTACATGAATATATCATGGTGTCATTGTTTTACATTAATTCTTCATTGTATGTTAAAAACCATTTTCTTCATGAAAGAGAATAAGAGCAGATAGGAACCCTTGAGAAGATGCTTAAGAACTGCATGAAAAACAGCCTTTTGAGATAATGTATAACTGGTAGGGCTGGGACGATACAGCGTTTTCTATATCGATACATATCACAATATTTGAGCCATGATACGATATGTATCACGATATGTGAATTGGTTATAAAATCTTTTTTTTTTGTATTGAAATAAACAAAACATTACATAGCAAATAAGAATAATTTATTCAAAGAAGTGATATATCTGTTGTAAAGCAAAATTATATCACACAAGAGGTGTTAATTATAATGTATTTCATATTTATATTTAGCATATTTATTTTATATATTTAATCCAAAATGTTAGGTAAACAAAGAAAAACAAAGTCAGAATTTTTTAGTGATATTTCGATATTACTTCATACGTATCTATATGCCTATCGTCCTCACACAAAATCGACATTATATTGATATCTCGATATATCATCCCAACCCTAATAACTGGCTACAGCAACCAAACATACAGTTACTTGGAACCAAGAATGGTCAAAAGTATTTATTTTTTTAATATATATTTTGTTGTTTTGAAGTACATTTTACTAGTGCTTTGGGGAAAAAGAACTGCTGTTACAGAAATTCTCCATTAATATATGTTCAGTATACAAGGGCTTTTTTGTACTTCTTTTCACTATAAATCATTATATACCTTGTTGTGGTAAGAGGTCTGGAAGTTTTTCATGTAAGGAATCCATCACATTTTTTAGGTTCAACTGAAAAATTAAATGCAGGAAAATAAGATGAAAGAACCATTCCGGTTCACTATTAGGACCTATCTGTAATCTACTTGCAACTGATTGTTGAATAGCTGCAATAATAGCCCTCTCCAATATATTTTTTTGCAAGTAGGAAGGTGTTGATTGAGAGTCAAGTAAAAAAAAAAATTGGAGAGGGCTGCATTATTGCAGCTAACATGGCTATAACATATCAAGAAAGATTTTGAAAACTGTTAGTTGGGAAGTTGGGTTTGAAATGATACATAAAATTTTAAAATTTTTGGCAAGAAAAAAATACAAAAATTTCAATCCACAGAGATAAACACAGGTATTACCTTGGGTGTCTTTGCAAGAGCATTGCCAAGCTTTAGAAGTTGAGTAACCAGGTCAATCACGATTTTGTCTGTTGACTCATTAGAATCATGAGCCTCAAGGCGAGCGGCTACAATGTCCAACTGTCTAAAACTCCACTGTTGATATAACCTATTCTGTATGTCATGAGATATCACTAAAATTTTTGCATTCTCCAAGAATCCTTTTTCAGAGCTCTTGCTTTCTTTTAAATCTCTAACCATGGCCATAATTGCATCTGATGAACACTGCATAAGAGCAAATATTGTTACAACATAAACACAACATAGGATTTTTCACCCTCTGTAGTAAATAGAACTGATATGTTGACATTGACAAATTGGACCCAAAATAATATAGAAATGAGCAGAATATCTGATACTAACCTCCATTACGTGAACTATATGTTTCATGTAGACAAGAAGAAGACCTGTAATGGGCTCTGTTTGGTTGGTGTTCTGTAGGTTTTTCAGAAGTTGTTCATGGTAACCTGAAAACCATCCACATAAAATTAACAAGTCTATATATACTTCTTAATAAGTAAGGAAATACAGTATTCAACCCATATAATCTAATGCAATTTTACAATATAATAAAGATTTATTCTGGCTACATTTTTTTCTATCCCACATGTATATAAAAGAGAAAATCTTACTGCCAACTTCAGT